AAAATTAATTGGGGACCCACTATATTTAAATGAGGATAATAATATGTACAGTGTGTAATTTTAATTTTGTGTTACAATTCATCATAAATAATTTCTGTATACTGTGTAATAAATTAGTTTTGATTACAATAGAGGTAGCAGTTTAATAAGCTAGCAGTATAAGATATAATTCAAGTAGTAAATATTTATGATAGTTACATTGTAAAGTATTTCATAATGTTCAAAAGGTATTTTTTGAAGCTATTATGAATTAGAGCTTTTTGATTCTTTAGGCATGTAGTTCATTTTGGGTCTTTTGATTTGTGTGGAGTGTTACCAAATTGAGTCATACATGTAGGATATCGTAGAGATGCTGTATTTATTTCTAGTATTATGCTTGTGTAATCTGTTCAAGCTCTCCAGGAATTGTTTAAGTGCAGGGTTCCTATATGTATTGAGTGTTCTGTATATGTATTATGTACAATAGTGTATGGGGATGCATTGTATTTTAATGAGGTTCAAATCATTGAATAAAGGAATACAGAGTGTTGTTTGAAATAAGATGAGTGATAATTCTAATGGCAATTTTTTGTTTGGTTATGATTAGTTTCAGATGATTTCCTCTTGTAGCTTCCAAGCGCATATATCAACAAATACGAATGACAGTAAAATGCTACGTATTTAACCCTTTCAGGGTCGAGAGGCCCTCTCCTAAACTTGTTCTCAGGGTCGAAAATTTTTCGGGAAAAAAAAAAGATTTTTTCTTATAAAATGATAGAGAATCCTTTCCCGATTATGACGACACCAAAAGTTGGAAATTTGATGGAAAACTTATGGAATTATGCTCTTGCGAAGTTAGCGGTCTCGCTGATGTTTACGCATCGGCGATTCCGCCCACTTTGAGCCCTATTTTTGGCCATTCCTGTATACTAGTCGACAAAATCATATTTATTTCGCTAGAACTCCATTTTTTCTATCGAATGAGTACAAGAAACCACCCATTACCAATTTCAACTATCCAATAAAGTGGTTAGAAATTGGCAATTTTGCCAATTTCACACAAATTTCAGAAGATGCCAGTTTCCAAATAGGGTCCATAATAAACAAGAAAGACATTCCTGACACTAAAATAACAAGTTCTCTGTTCGTTAGTCATGTCCCCAGGCCCCTCTTATATTTCTTTTGCTTTCCACTTTGGAATTTTTATTCTTACAAAAAATAGAAGAGATTTACTGTTATGCAGACTACTGCATTAGTGTAGAAATGGTATAAATAATATCAGTGCACTTGTGAAAGAATATTAGACTCACCAGTTGATGTGTATCCGACGCTTGGCATGATTTGTTTACTTTTGAACTTTGGTAAAAATCGAGCATTTCTGCTACTTTGAGCTCAATTTCAAGGTACTTTTCATTGTGAAATCAGTCAAAATCATCTCAATTTCTGTAATATGTCTTCCATTCTATAAAATGAGACCAAAAAACTAGAATACACCATAAATACCATGCGAAAATACAGTGCAAAGTCCCTGTTTTAATCCAAAAACACTGTCAAAGATTTTTTTTTCTCATTGCGCACTGTGTGCTGCAGGATTTTTTATACTGTGCACACTGACCACATAGACCCATTCTTTTCATATGTAGGCCTACCAGCTTTCTCTCGCTAGATTTGAAGGCGCTAGAATTAGTCGTATACTACGCCAAAACCCTGATGCGTAAGCCAACTAGTACGTCGAAAACACTGAAAGGGTTAACTTCGTATTAAACTGTTGCCTTGGGGACAGCTATTGCCCTCCCTCTATGCTCTGTGTGGTTTTTACTTCTTTTTACATGTTTTTTTTGTAACTTGTTTCATAAATCTACAAGATAAACCTTACCTCACATGGCTATAGTTGTACTTCGTACAGTTGAAGCCCAGTATTCGTGAGTTTCGTAATCCATGTGATTCATTTTATATATTTTAACCCTTAAACTGTCCAAACGTAAGATCTTTGTTCACTCGCATGGTGCTCCGAATATTTTGAAAAATAAAGAAATCTTTTTTTTTTTCTTTAAAATGAAGAGCACATTTTTTCTACATGTTATAGGATAAAAAAAAATTAGGGCCAGTACTTACCAGGATACAAGACCATGTAGTTGGCTCTGGATGCTCACCTGATGGCAACATCGATTCCAGCTTGCAGAAGTGTTGCTAATATACCTTTTTTTCTCGTTTTTTACTTTAATTTATACATTTTTTATGTTCTGATAATTACAATTTTAAAATATTTTCTTGTGAGTTCATAGCGAATCTTTGTTCTGACACTAATATTAGCTACTGAACTAGTGCTCAAATAGTCACAATCACATAGACAGGTGAACATTTACACCTGCTTGGGTTATTTACTATTGTCTAGAAATATACACAAAGTATTTATAGGTCCCAGCAATGTTTTAGATACCCTGGCATATACCTTGAAGCATGGTGTCATGAAGGGCATCCCCATACTGTTGACAGCCCAGTGACATTTGATAAATGCCCACTGCTCCAGCTAACCCTCTCTATATTTGTTATCATTATTACACACAAACATGTCTTGTCTCTGTCTATTTATCTGTCTATCTTTGCCTGGAATTTTTGGATTGTACAAGTAATTTACACTATGTATAATTTTACTTATGTGTGCATGTGAGAGAGACAAATAGACAGAGATACAGACAGATTTCAGAGTATAGATAGAGAGACAGCCAAAGTCAGCCAAAGCCAGCCAGCCAGCCGGCCAGCCTGCCGAATACATAAGAAAGAAGGAACACTGCAGCAGGCCTACTGGCCCATGCATGGCAGGTCCATGTCCCCCCCCCGGCTTAGACCAATGACCCAGTAGTCAGGTCACATCCACTGAAGGAAGGAGCCTGACATCAGAACAGTAACACAGGCTAGTCAGGTCAAAATTACCCCACCCACATAATGTATTTAATTAACCCTCGCTGCATTTGTTATCACTGTTACACACAAACATGCCTGTCTATCTATCTTTCCTGCCTGTCTATCTGGTTTGCTCTGTTTATCTGTCTACCTGTCTGTTTGTCTCTGCTTATCTGTCTTTCTGTCTGCCTGGACTATAGTATATCAAACTCCTTGAAGAATGGTGTTATGACAACTGTGACATTTGATAAATGGGCACTCGGGGAACCCTGGCTTTATTTGCTTTCACAGATACACACAAACATGTTTGTCTGTCTGTCTGTCTATCTATCTGTCCGTCTATCTTTGCCTGGAATTTTTGGGTTATTTTAGGTCATTTAACACTATGTATAATTGTACTTGTGTGTGCATGTGAGACAGATATATAGATATAGATATAGATAGACAGAGAGACAGCCAGAGACAGCCAAAGCAAGCCAGCCAGCCGAATACATAAGAACATAAGAAAGAAGGAACACTGTAGCAGGCCTAATGGCCCATGCAAGGCAAGTCCTTGCCACCCCCCCCCCCACTGGCTTAGACCAATGACCCACCTAGTCAGGTCACATCCATTGAAGGAAGGAGCATGACATCAGACCTAGTAGCACAAGCTAGTCAGGTCCAACTTACACCCACCCACACTCACTCGTGTATTTATCTAACCTATTTTTACTTTCCTCTTAAAATGGGAGTGTTAATGCAACATGGCATCATTGAATCCCTGGTGTTTGCTATGCTGTTGCTCTAGCTGGCTCTCAGTTGAACTGGTGCATCCACAAGGTACTAAGTGCTCCCAGATTTTTTTAATACTGCACACACTGAGTGCATAGACCCATTCTTTCATGTCTAGGTGACTCAAGCCTATTGTGCCAAATTTGAAGGAATGAAAAATAAAACATTGATCTACGTTTGGAGCGTTATGCATGCAAACGTAGATCTACGTTTGGACAGTTTAAGGGTTAACCCGAAGTCCAAATTGCAGATATCTTTGATTATTCACATTTTTTCATGGTGCCTATTGTCTTTTTGTTTATTACATGACCCCTAAATTGAAAACTAGCCATAGGATTTCTTTAAAAATGGGCCCATTCTTTTTTAAGAATGTCATTATTAAAGAAAGAAATATGATAAAAAAATTACTTATTCAGACAGATAAATTTCCTATTATCCACAGTTACATTATTCATGTTAACTCCAGGAACCTAACTCCCACTTATTATGGGGTTAGACTGTATACAGCTTAGAAGTTAATCTATAATCTAAACATTATTTAATCAAAGTCTTATTATTTTTGAGTGAAATAATTTGTGACTTTACTATTAAAATATGAGGCTTACTCTAAAATTTCTTCAAAAATTCATTTTCAGTTTTTAGAAGGGCCAAACTTTGCAGTTTTTCTTGGCCTTGAGAATTTCTAGAATTTCAAGCAATGAAGCTGAGCTCTGCATATGAAATCATAGCTGGAACTGTTTAAATTAGTACTATGATTCACAAAGTTTAACTCTGCTGACACTGCCTTCACAGTAACCACCAAACCAAATTATTGTAGGGGGCAGGTAAGACCTAAACCCAGGGACCCAATAAAACACACAAGCCACGAATTTGTATATACAGTACTCAGTAATGCTAGTTTTCCCTGTGTGCTAGAACACTTGCTGTATCTGCTTTTGTTCTGTCATTTGGAATTTTTGTTCTCCAAGCATGCTTGCATATTTTGTGCAACCAGTCTGTACCTCTAACCATCATTTTTTGCATATGTACATTTAGTCCACTTTATTTTCTAATCTAGTCTAATCTTTTGAAAATATTGTAAGTTTAGATTTTTATGACTCATACTCGTTGTGCTTCATGTTAACAAATAATTATCAGTTGAAAATTGTTCCTTGTTACTGTATTGATTTGATTGTACTAATGAGGCCCATATTGTGCAGTGGTTCTTCTCTTTTAATCTTAACAAAATAGCTTTCTTGTTGCATCTTCCATTTTGTAACAGCATTGTGTGGTAGACTATGAAGGTAATATAGAAGCCACTATAAAAATATTCCATATTTTCTAGTATTAGCCTCTTTGTTTTGCAGATCTGGGACACTGCTGGCCAGGAGAGATTCAAAAGTTTACGCACACCATTTTATCGAGGTTCTGACATGTGTCTTCTTACATTCTCTGTTGATGATCCTTCGAGCTTTCAAAACTTAGAAACATGGCGTAAAGAGTTTGTTTACTATGCTGATGTCAAAGCAGATTTCCCCTTTCTTGTAGTTGGAAATAAGGTAACTCCTGTTCAGAGTTAATAAGATGATATATTATAATCTATCTTTTCCATTAACATCCAAGACATTTAACCGTATAGCATGCCTGTACATTTCTTAGTTTTATCTTTAAATGTGATAACCGGTCTTATTTCTTGGATTTTGTTTTTTTTCATCATGGAGTTCATTCATCACTTAACTGTACCTGTGTTTATCCCATCTTCTGGATATCTGTTCTATCGACAGCCAGTTTGGTTTTGGATTTGTACAGTAATCTCATACTTTAGTTTGGGCTTTAACTCATAAATTTGATATTTGGTTTCTAGGTCCTATACTATCATACATCTTTACGTCTTTTGTGGGTCATCCAACTCATTTTGATTCTTTGGATTTCATACACATGCCTAACACATTCTAGGTACAAGGTTGGTAGTCAGCAACCACCCAGGGAGGTACTACTGTCCTGCCAAGTGAGTGTAAAACGAAAGCCTGTAATTGTTTTTTCATGATGGTAGGATTGCTGGTGTCCTTTTTTCTGTCTCATAAACATGCACAATTTCAGGTACGTCTTGCTATTTCTACTTACACATAGGTCACACTACATATACATGTACAAGCATGTATATGCACATCCTCTGCATTTTCTTCTATTTTCTTTCTAGTTCTTGTTTATTTTCTCTTATCTCCATGGGGAAGTGAAACAGAATTCTTCCTCCATGTTGTAAGAGGTGACTAAAATGCCAGGAGCAAGGGGCTAGTAACCCCTTCTCCTGTATAAATTACTAAATTTAAAAAGAGAAACTTTTGTTTTTATTTTTGGGCCACCCTGCCTCGGTGGGATGCGGCCGGTTTGTTGAAAAAAAACTAACTAACACATTTATTCATCTAGATTTTAAGAAAACTTTCAGTAGAGCTCAATATGAAAAACTCACCCAGGAACTACAGAACAAAGGCTGAAGGAGAATCTATTACAATAGGTGATAGATTTTCTGTTTAGGATGAATATGCTAACACTTGAAGAGGAAGAATGTTCTTTTGTGAAGTCACCAGTGGGGTGTACCAGGACTAATATTAATAATTTATGAAAATGACTTGCGAAAGGGAAAAGAAAACTAAGTGTATTTGTGATTGATAGAAAGATCTTATGCAAAATAAGCAATTAAAATGACTGCAGATCCTTACAAAGTGACTTTTGGTATTTGGGCAAACAGTGAAGATGGAGCACCATATAATGGATGTGGGAAAAAAATGAATAATGGCCTCATGCAGTATATGCTATAGGTTGTGTGGCAAAATATTAAAAGTGTCAGACAGATAAAGGGATGTAGAGGTTTTTATTAACAAAGAGTGTCACTGGAACATATCTGGAGGGGGTTTCAGGGGGTCAATGCCCCCACGGCCCAGTCCTTGACGAAGCCTTGTGATGGATCAAGGCCTGATGTGATAAAATCACATCCTTCACTAGCAAGTTAAAATGGTTTTCAAATACTATATAGAGAACATTCCTCAAGCACTATAAGGTTTACCACTTTCTTCTTCCAAGAAGAAGCCTCAGTTGTAAATTTAGAAAAAGTGGAATGAAAAACTTATTTCTGTAGGATTTTTTTCTCAGTCATGAAACAGTGAAAACAGAAGATAATAAATTCTACAACCATTAGAAATTAAAAAAAAATATGTATGAATTAATTGCTAAAGGGTGGGCACCACATGCCATGCTCTGCTCTTGTAGATCTTAATTACACATGCACACATTTAAAAGAAATAAAGAAAAGAAAATTTTCTGGTACATAGTAACAAGGCTGAAGCCACCTACCCAATTAGATTATCAGGACAAACAATTAAAGATAAATGGAAACAAGCCAAAACCTATTAAAAATGAAAAGACTTAAACCAAAAATAATTGTAAAACAAGAAGAAATCTAACAGTGAGCTAAACTAAAAGTGAACTGCAAAAAAATATTCCAAATGAGGTACAGTAATAACTCCTTCAGTCAGAGGTGACCAATTACCCATTTGCACATACAGTACTGTTGCTATACATCATTAATTATCCCCTCATATACTAGCAATTCAAAATCAACATACATACTTTCTAGCTAGTAAATGTGAACAGAGCCAAGACAATCTTTCGAATCTGGCCGAAATTTTTTGTGATATCATGTTCCACCATTTCGGGAAGGCCTTGTATTCTGAGTCACCTAGCATACAAACTGACAGACAGAGAAAATGAAGCACAAGTGCTTTTACACCACATGGCTCTTATCTCTCATTATCATCACTTGAAAACTTTGTATACTGGCACAGTAAAAAACTGGAAAATTGCTTACATATACAGGTTGACCATCACTAATCTGCCATCATCAGGACCTGTAGGGTGCCAGATTAGTGATTTTGCCAGATTACAGAGTGGTTAAGTTAGAATACACTTAATCCAAAGGCTATATTGACGCATTAAGATTTCATCCACTTTACACCCTACGACTGGCCCATTCCATTGTTCCAGTCTACCAAACTCATAGCTATTTCGTTAGTATTCCTTCTGTTCTGTCGATTGAGTACAAGAAACCACCCATTTACCTATTTCAAGTACCCAATAGAGTGGTCAGAAATTGGTAATTGGCCAATTTCACACACATTTCAAGAGATGCCAATTTTAAAATAGGGTCCAGAATAAACAATGCAGACATTCCTGGCACTAAAATAGCATTTTTGCTGTTCATTAGTCATGTCTCCAGGCCCCTATTAAATTATGTTTGCTTTCCATTTTGAATTTTTATTCACACAAAAAATAGAAGATTTGCTGTTATGCAGACTACTGCATTATTGTAATAATTGTATAAATAATGTCAACCCATTCATGACTGCTTATTAAACTGGCCAGTTGGACACATATTGGACAGTGATGTCATTTGTTTACTCTTGAACATCGGCAAATTTGAGCTCAATTTCAAGATACTTTCCTTCATGAAACCAATCAAAATCATATCTATTTCTGTAATATATCTTTCATTCTATCAAATGAGACAAAAAACGAGAATACAACCATAAAAACCATATGAAAATACACAGCAAAGTCGTTGTTTTACACCAAAAACAGTCTCAGTTTTTTCTCATTATGCACTGTATGCTGCAGGATTATTTTTATATAGTGCACAGTTACCACACAGACTAATTCATATATAGGTCCAAATTTACTAGTCATAGCTTATCTGAGTCAGCTGAGCTCATGACAACCGACTGTGGCTTCAAAGCCACCTTATCTTTTATGGACAATATATGGTATATGGTATGGAGGGGAATGTATGAGAGTATAGTTTTACCAACGCTCTTATATGGGTGTGAAGCATGGGTGATGAATGTTGCAGCGAGGAGAAGGCTGGAGGCAGTGGAGATGTCATGTCTGAGGGCAATGTGTGGTGTGAATATAATGCAGAGAATTCATAGTTTGGAAGTTAGTAGGAGGTGCGGGATTACCAAAACTGTTGTCCAGAGGGCTGAGGAAGGGTTGTTGAGGTGGTTCGGACATGTAGAGAGAATGGAGTGAAACAGAATGACTTCAAGAGTGTATCAGTCTGTAGTGGAAGGAAGGCAGGGTAGGGGTCGGCCTAGGAAAGGTTGGAGGGAGGGGGTAAAGGAGGTTTTGTGTGCGAGGGGCTTGGACTTCCAGCAGGCATGCGTGAGCATGTTTGATAGGAGTGAATGGAGACAAATGGTTTTTAATACTTGACATGCTGTTGGAGTGTGAGCAAAGTAACATTTATGAAGGGATTCAGGGAAACCGGCAGGCTGGACTTGAGACCTGGAGATGGGAAGTACAGTGCCTGCACTCTGAAGGAGGGGTGTTAATGTTGCAGTTTAAAAACTGCAGTGTAAAGCACCCTTCTGGCAAGACAGTGATGGAGTGAATGATGATGAAAGTTTTTCTTTTTCGGGCCACCCTGCCTTGTTGGGAATCGGCCAGTGTGTTAATAAAATAAAAATAAAAAATATGGTATATGTGCTTTACACAAGGAGAAGCACTTCTTTTATTCATTGGAACCATGGCTAGGGCTAAAATTGAGCAGGTTATAACAATAAATTGAGAAAAAGAAATTGGAATGACTTATGCAGTAAATAGTGCCATTAACAGTAGTGGCAGGTTGGTGTGGGGACCCTGGAAATTTGAAATTATGTTAGTCAAAATTAGTGTCAGATTACTGATGGAACCGGATTACTGATTGCCGGATTAGTGATGGCCGACCTGTACTGGCATACTGTTTATTTCAATTTAAAAGCCTGACTGTCATTTTTTCTGAAGTGGTGTGTGGAGGATTATGATGAAATGATGAGAAATAGAGGTGATATAAAATGCTAAGAAAAAAAATGTGCATTTTATCTGTGCATTGGGTTAATAAAATAGAGAAATATATTCTGAGAGGTCTTCCTCATAAAATAACATTAATTTTTTTATATAAATTAAAAAGTTACCTATTGGTTGATATAATTTTAATAATAATAATTTTTTTTTTATAAATTCCACTTTTAATTTTTTATTAAAATTATTATTTTTTTAAATAACTCAAAATTCATTGTTTTTAAACATAAATGGGTGCCTGCACCTCTACGGTCAGTCAGTGATGTTTTCAACATATTTTGCCATAGCCACTATTAGCTTTAAGGTAGTTACAGTCAACACAACTTTTCAGTGTAAGAAAAAAAGTTTCAGGCAGGTAAGCTCATTACTTTATGTAAATACAAAAGAAAATTTCAAAGGGTTAGCTCATTTCTTTTCTTTTAAGAGGAAAAGTAGTATACACGTTCCTCTTTTTACAGATTGATCTAGAAAGAAGAGTGACCACCGAAGAAGCAGAAGTATGGTGCAAAGAGAATGGAGATCTTCCATACATTGAAACATCTGCTAAAGATGACACCAATGTAGAAGCATCATTTATGATGTGTTTAAGACGATGGGCTAACATTGAGGGAAGGCAGGTAAGAACTTAAATGTTGAAAATAATGAAACGTTACTGTACGAGTTTCCCCTTGCTTCATATCTTCCCAATGCTAGGTCTTGTGGTTTGTGCCCAGGGGTTAGGGAGATCTCGTCTCTGAGAGGGATGCCACTCTGCCCACAAGGTGCTTGCCTGACAAAGAAAACATCAGTTTCAGAACAAATGGTGGGAATGCTTCCCCTTTCACCTAAATTTGCTTACACTTCTGGCTGAGATTCATCTGTAAAAACTTGCATTTGTGGTCACCTGTGCTAACCTTCCTATGGTGTAGAAATATACCTAGTTGGATGAATCTTATTGAAGCTAGCTGGCCCAGTGGCTAACGTGACGGTCTGGAGTTTTGAGACTCTGACCGCGGGTTCAAACCCCACCCATGGTATGGTTTGTTTGCAATTGTGTCATTACAATTTCGTTAGTCAGAAATATTTCAGTCTCAGGGTGGTCAAAAAGTGGAATGATCTCAACAAAGTGGTGGAGACAAACCCCATTCATAGAGAAGGTACGATAGGTTTGATAGGGTCCACAAGGCTAGCAGGGAGTGAATCTGGCAAACAAGTTGAAAGGCAGGGCCAGGAGCTAAGACCCGATCCCTGCAATCACATGTAAGTGAGAACAATTTTTAGGTGAGTGTATACAGCCGCTGTAGATCCCACTGCATTTACATTTTTCTAGGTTTTCAATTTATTAATGTATTTATTTCTGGTGCTATGTATGCTTGTTTGGTGAAATAGTGATGGGTTCGATTTTTGCCAGAGTTCAAAAGTAAGCAAATCATGCCACATGTCCAATACACGTCAACTGGTGAGTCTAATAGTCTTTCACAAGTGCGGCGATATTATTTATACCATTTCTACACTAATGCAGTAGTCTACATAACAGTAAATCTTTTATTTTTTGTGAGAATAATAATTCGAAGTGGAAAGCAAAAGAAATGTAAGAGGGGCCTGGGGACATGACTGATGAACAGAGGAAATGTTACTTTAGTGCCAGGAATGTCTTTCTTGTTTATTCTGGACCCTATTTGGAAATTGGCATCTTTTGAAATTTGTGTGAAATTGGCAAAATTGCTAAATTCTGATCACTGTATTGGATAGTTGAAATTGGTAAATGGGTGGCTTCTTGTACTCATTCGATATAAAAAATGGAGTTCTAGCAAAATAGTTATGATTTTTGTCGACTAGTACATTGGAATTTGCCGAAAATAGGGCTCAAAGTGGGCAAAATCGCCGATGCGTAAACATTGTCGAGACTGCTAACTTCACGAGAGCATAATTCCGTAAGTTTTCCATCAAATTTCATACTTTTGGTGTCATTATGATCAGGAAAAGATTCTCTATCTTTTCATAAGAAAAAAATTTTTTTTTTTTTTAAATTTGGGGGACCATGAGAACAAGTCTCTGAGAGGGCCTGTGGACACTGAAAGGGTTAAGACCCATTCTATGCTGACCAGGCATCTCAGACCAATCGTGCCAAATTTGGAGGCAGGAAAAATAAAATGTATATTTACGTTTGGGGCACTAGCAGTAAGAACGTATATATACGTTTGGACCGTTTACGGGTTAACCTCAAGATTATTAATTAGTGATTCCTTGTTGGCATGAACTAAGTCCAGCAGATTATTTCCTCTAGTTCGTTCTGTCACAAACTGTATTAAACAACAATCTTGAATCATATCAAGAAAGTCACTTGACTCAAGATTTCCTGTCAGATTACTCCAGTCAATTTGTCTAAGTTAAAATCTCCCATTAGCACAACATTTTCGCATGTAGATGCCTTATGAATTTCACCCCATAAAAGTTTACTGCACTTCCTACCAAGGTTTGGGGGCCTGTAAATCACACCAAAGATTAGTTTTTCACAGCCTTCAGAAGTACAACCAGACATTCAGTGGCCAACGTTTCTAATTTCATATCTTATCTAACACAAAAATTTAAATTATCTATGACGTACATCGCCACTCCACCAACCTATCAGTGTGGAATAATTTATAGCCTTGTATGTGGCATTCAGAAGGGATGTCTCTGTTTTTCAGGTTGAACCAGGTCTCTGTTATAGCAATATCAATGCTTCCTGCACTTGCAATTAATCTTAGCTCATCTATTTTATTTCTTGCACTCTTCCTGTTAGTATAGTAAACCTTAAGAGAGCTAGTCTCTCTCACTGCCCTCTGCCTGTCTCTGTCTGTTTGCTGACCAGTTCCATTGTCTTTATTTGTAACTTTATGATAAATAATGTTTTAAACATATCCCTGAGGTATCCTGGTAATATCTGCTGTTTTCAACCCTCATGCTGCAACCTGTTTGTTTTCCACACACACCCATATCTCTGTCTTCTCTCAGTTTAAAATTCCAAAGAAGTCAGCAATGGCCACCCCCTCAGTCAAGTTGGCCAATGCTACCACTCCTGCCCCAGAGATGTACACCATCCCTTGGATACATATCACGTTTGCCATAGAAGATGTCCCAGTTGTCAATGAATGGGATATCAAGTTCCTTGCAGTACCTGTCTAGCCAGCAGTTTACAATAATTGCCCTAGACATCCATTCACTGCCCACTCCTCTTCTAGGCAAGATGCTACATATGATCAGGACCCCTCCTTTAGACCTTATTAAATCTATAGCTGACTTTTACTTATCCAGTAGCTCCTGACTCCTGCCCATTTCTACCAGCACTGAGACAGATAATGGGCTTGTTCCCATTACCTGACATGACATCCAGCCTGTTGACTATGTCACCAACACCAGCTCCAGGAAAGCACACTCTCTCACCTTCTTATTCCTATTACAGAAAGCACGGTCCATATTCTTACCTGTGAGTCACCAACCACAAGATTCACTTACCTCTATTAGCAGGGCAAGGAGCACCTTTACATTCACTGACCACTGAAGTACACTCATCCTGAAGAACAGAGAAGCGATTTCCTACCTTCAAATCTTCTCTCTTAACTTTCCTTATTTTGATGCTCCTCCCATTATTGGGAACCACTTGCCACTTGTAGCAGGTGCCGGACTGCTCCTCACTGCTGGTAGACTTTTTGTCCTCATCACCTTCAACCACCTCACAGTGAGTGCCAGACTGCACCTCACTGCTGGTAGCCTTATTCCCCTCACCATCTCCAGCCACCTCACACTCCTAAACCCATCAAGGTGAACCTTCAGCTTCCTAATTTCCTAATTTCCACCTGGAGAAGTAAGACCTCCTCCTTCAACACTGTTACCTCAGATTTTAAAACACTGCAGAAGCAAGCCATGGCTTTGTAACCCTTCACACTAATCCCCAAACCAGCTCAGGACAGTATGATGTAAGAAGGCTACTTTAAGTATATACCATACTAGTGAGAGAATGAAAAAACATTTTAGCTTATTTTAATAAAGGGAAGCTCTAAACCCGTAAAGGTCATATAACACCTAGGAAATGGGAGGTATTCAGGTTCCATCTAAGGAAATGGAGGATAAGTTCAATTCCCTTGAGCAAGAGCCCCTTATTGATATCAAGGCACTTTCATTAGTGTTAGATAAATTGGCAAATGCAATAACAAATTATTCTCACCAATGAAAATATTTTTGTACTCAGTTTTTTTCTTGTTTTCAGGAGAGAATGCCTCTTCCTGACACAGTGCAGCTGGGTGGTGACGGCTCACACCACCGACTTTGTGCATGTTCATCATAACTTTAAGGTATGTCAAGTTTGTATATGGATGAGACTGCATGTCTTCATTTTGGTTGTACAGTAGCCTTGACTTGGGGGCATTTGAGTTACAAACATCCACACATTCAAATGGCTCACTAATTTGAGTGTTAGTCTGCAGATGCATACATTACTAGAATTGAGCAACAATTATTCTTAATAAATTGTTTTCATAGCTGTTTTTCACTAAATAAATTCATCCTTTGTGTATGCCCATTTTATGCATGTTTGAAGGGTTCGTATTTGTTCATTAGAAATTGGGCAAGAACTGTAGTTTTCATAATTATGATTTTAATAAAGTCAAATTATAAATATTTTTTTTTTCATTGATGGTAGGTTTTTACATTAATCACTTGTATTTAATTCATGTTCATTCCATGAACATGAGCATTTATGTTTGTTTCATAGAGCTTGGATAAGAACTGTAGATTTAATAATTCCAATTTTGCTGAAGTTGAATTATAAATATTGTACAGTAGAATACACCATTTATCATGTGCCCAGAGAGTGTGTTGTTGACAAAATGCTATTGAAAAACTGTACCTAGTCCTAATTGCACAGAAAAAGTGATCAGTCATGTGCTCCATAAGATTTGAAAAAGCTGGGAGGCAGTGCACAAAAGCTAGTAACCCAGAATTATGTTGCAGTTAGACATTCCGGTGTCTTTAATAGTTTCATAACTACTCTAGCTGTTTTCTGCCATTTATTAAATATGTTGATCGTGGTTCATATGGCCACCACAGCTTAAGATGAATCGACCCTCACATCACTGGAAGAAGGGTTCAAATAGGACAAGCCATCGTAGCCCTTAACCCATTCAGGGTCGCGACCTTTGATCTCAAACTTGCTCTCAGGGTTGGAAAATTTAAAAGCAAAAAAATTCTTTTGAAATGGTAGAGGATCTTTTTCTGAAGGTAATAAAACAAAAAGTACAAAATTTGATGGAAAACTGATGAAATTATGCTTTCGCAAATTTTGCCGTGTCAGCAGTACATATTTACACATCGGTGATTTTGTCCAATTTTACGCCAGTTCCATTGTTCCGGTTGACCAAATTCTTAGCTATTTTGCTAGTATGTTTTCCATTCTGTTGATTGAGTACAAGAAACTGCCTATTCAGCTATTTAAACTACCCAGTAAAGTGATCAGAAATTGGTAATTTAGCCAATTTCACACAAAAGTAAAAATAGCCAATTTCATAACAGTGTCCAGAATAAATGATGCAGACATTCCTGGCACTAAAATAATATTTCCTCTTCATTAGTCATGTCCCCAGGCCTCTCCTATATTACGCTTGCTTTCCATTTTTAATTTTTATTCACACAAAAAATAGAATATTTACTGTTATGCAAACTATTGCATTACATGTATTGTAATAATTGTGTAAATAATGTCAGTTCATTTGTAAAATGCATATTAGAGTTGCCAGATGGATGCGTATTGGACAAGTGACGTCATAAAAGGCCCAAAAATTTGGAATTCACTACCAGTGTTTACCAAAGAAACACTGAATGTGAATTCAAGACTCTTCTAAAAAACCACCTGCTCACCCAAATCTAAATACACAGTACTTAATTTAGCTTTATCTACACAGTTAACAAATTGCTTTCTACTGCCTCAAAATATCATTGCTCACTGTAACTCCCCTAGCCTTAAGACCCCATAAATAAATACTCAAAGATCAGTAAATTATCATATCTCATCTAATGCAAATATTGAATGACTTATATTTCATAAATGTATAACCCAGTTGTATAATTAGAGAAACCTTACCAAACTGTTATTATAGCATTACCTAGTAGAATAATCCATTCTCTTGAATGCACTGTAACTCATCTAATGACCATATGAACTGTTACTGCACTACAGATCATTGATTTGATTTGATGAGATCTGATTAATAAATTGTACGACTACATATAGTAAATTGATCATTTTGTTATATTATTCATTGTAATGTTACAAAATTGTAAAACTATAATGCTTCAAAATTGAAATGTTCAAATTTCATTATTTAAAATACTCAATTGTACTAGATATTGTAAATTGTTTACTATAACTGTTCCAATAATCTTAAGTTAATTTTAAGCCTGCCCATAATGCTCTGTATACAAGGGGCTTTTAACATGTACACCCAACTACTATAATACCTTGTACAACTATGTATCATGTCTTAATAAACTAATTATTATTATTATTATTTGTGTACTCTGGAATGTCAGCAAACATCAAACACTTTCACTACTTTGATCTTAATTTCAAGCTACTTTCAGTTCTGAAACCAATCAAAATCATCTCTATTTCTGTAATACAGGTAATCCTCACTTAACCCTTTCAGTGTTGGTAAGTAAGTAAGTTTATTCAGGTATACACAAATACGGTTACATAGATTATCATACATAGCAGCATATGTGTAAAGTACCTAGGATAACCTAAAAAAGTCAGACAGAGTGACTTACTTCCATTGGGGTCCTTTTACCTTATTTTTTTTTTTTTTTTTTTTTCAACAAGTCGGCCGTCTCCCACCGAGGCAGGGTGACCCAAAAAAGAAAGAAAATCCCCAAAAAGAAAATACTTTCATCATCATTCAACACTTTCACCACACTCGCACATTATCACTGTTTTTGCAGAGGTGCTCAGAATACAACAGTCTAGAAGCATACACATATAAAGATACACAACATATCCCTCCAAACTGCCAATATCCCAAACCCTCCTTTAAAGTGCAGGCATTGTACTTCCCATTTCCAGGACTCAAGTCCGACTATATGAAAATAACCGGTTTCCCTGAATCCCTTCACTAAATATTACCCTGCTCACACTCCAACAGATCGTCAGGTCCCAAGTACCATTCGTCTCCATTCACTCCTATCTAACACGCTCACGCACGCTTGCTGGAAGTCCAAGCCCTTACCCACAAAACCTCCTTTACCCCCTCTCTCCCAACCCTTTCGAGGACGACCCCTACCCCGCCTTCCTTCCCCTATAGATTTATATGCTTTCCATGTCATTCTACTTTGATCCATTCTCTCTAAATGACCAAACCACCTCAACAACCCCTCTTCTGCCCTCTGACTAATACTTTTATTAACTCCACACCTTCTCCTAATTTCCACACTCCGAATTTTCTGCATAATATTTACACCACACATTGCCCTTAAACAGGACATCTCCACTGCCTCCAACCGTCTCCTCGCTGCTGCATTTACCACCCAAGCTTCACACCCATATAAGAGTGTTGGTACTACTATACTTTCATACATTCCCTTCTTTGCCTCCATAGATAACGTTTTTTGACTCCACATAAAACCTCAACGCACCACTCACCTTTTTTCCCTCATCAATTCTATGATTAACCTCATCCTTCATAAATCCATCCGCCGACACGTCAACTCCCAAGTATCTGAAAACATTCACTTCTTCCATACTCCTCCTCCCCAATTTGATATCCAATTTTTCTTTATCTAAATCATTTGACACCCTCATCACCTTACTCTTTTCTATGTTCACTTTCAACTTTCTACCTTACACACATTCCCAAACTCATCCACTAACCTTTGAAATTTTTTTCTTTAGAATCTCCCATAAGCACAGTATCATCAGCAAAAAGTAACTGTGTCAATTCCCATTTTGAATTTGATTCCCCATAATTTAATCCCACCCCTCTCCCAAACACCCTAGCATTTACTTCCTTAACAACCCCATCTATAAATATATTAAACAACCATGGTGACATTACACATCCCTGTCTAAGACCTACTTTTACCGGGAAATAGTCTCCCTCTCTTCTACACACCCTAACCTGAGCCTCACTATCTTCATAAAAACTCTTTACAGCATTTAATAACTTACCACCTATTCCATATACTTGCAACATCTGCCACATTGCTCCTCTATCCACTCTATCATATGCCTTTTCTAAATCCATAAATGCAATAAAAACTTCCCTACCTTTATCTAATACTGTTCACATATATGCTTCAATGTAAACACTTGATCTACACATCCCCTACCCACTCTGAAACCTCCTTGCTCATCCGCAATCCTACATTCTGTCTTACCTCTAATTCTTTCAATTATAACCCTACCGTACACTTTTCCTGGTATACTCAGTAAGCTTATTCCTCTATAATTTTTACAGTCTCTTTTGTCCCCTTTCCCTTTATATAAAGGGACTATACATGCTCTCCCGCCAATCCCTAGGTACCTTCCCCTCTTTCATACATTTATTAAACAAAAGTACCAACCACTCCAACACTATATCCCCCCCTGCTTTTAACATTTCTGTCATGATCCCATCAGTACCAGCTGCTTTAACCCCTTTCATTTTACGTAATGCCTCACGTACCTCCCCCACACTTACATTCTGCTCTTCTTCACTCCTAAAAGATGGTATACCTCCCTGACCAGTGCATGGAATTACTGCCTCTGTTTCTTCCTTAACATTTAAAAGTTCCTCAAAATATTCTCGCCATCTACCTAATACCTCCATCTCCCCATCTACTAACTCCCCTACTCTGTTTTTAACTGACAAATCCATATTTTCCCTTGGCTTTCTTAACTTGTTTAACTCACTCCAAAATTTTTTCTTATTTTCATTAAAATTTCTTGACAGTGCCTCTCCCACTCTATCATCTGCTCTCCTTTTGCACTCTCTCACCACTCTCTTTACCTTTCTTTTACTCTCCATATATTCTGCTCTTCTTATAACACTTCTGCTTTGTAAAAACCTCTCATAAGCTACCTTTTTCTCTTTTATCACACCCTTTACTTCATCATTCCACCAATCACTCCTCTTTCCTCCTGCACCCACCCTCCTATAACCACAAACTTCTTATTATTATTCTTATTATTATAATATAATATAAAGGTGATAATATCTTATTATTATTCTATAAAGGAGATAACATCTTATTATCATACTATTAAGACTACTACATGAGGGTCATTAAGACTATCTACAATACGAGGGTCATTACTAGGAATAAG